GAGACATCCGCAGTCCGGTCGAGATTTGTGGTTTCTATAACGTGATTGGTCCGGGCCATTTACGGAGTCGCAGATTCACGACTTCTCACAGCACAGTTTAATTGTTAATTCATGGTGTGTTTTCCGAGTGTTCACGAAGAACTGAACACCTACTGATTCTGTCTGTTTCTCTTCCACATCATGTGACTGTCATCTGGTAAGTTGCGTGTAATTGTTTACCTTCTTATTTTCCATCTTGAAGTTCTGGTCCACTTCTCCATTTAAGATCTACATAGATATAAGTCAATGCTTTCTGCGATTACATGTCCCTTCCGGTCTTGGAAACGGACGGTGTCTTAAACCTTCCCAATTTAGTGTCAGCGTTTGAGTTTCGGCAAAAAATAGCCCGAATCTGGAGCAGAGTCCTCTGATTCAGTTGCCTTAGATTATTCTTGCCCTGTACTGTCCACGGGGTCATCGGCCAATTGTTTGAGCAACCAAAAACTGTTGCTCCTTCCTTTCTGCTGGCATTCACATGACGTGCCCAAGCCATCGCAAGTATTACTTCTCTCTCTGAAGAAGTAACAGCTATACAGCAAGACTCTCTCGGATGTCTCTCTAGTCCGGACCATTCTGAGTCGCGTGAGCCCAGCGATTAGTCTCAGTTAGCCCATTTCAGCTGCTTGTTCAATCATGGCCTGTAATTGATGGCCGCTGGTGAGCATCGAGATGAAGATTTTCTTGAACACCGAGAGCTTAATCTTCACATTCACCTCTACTTTTGTCAAAATGGTTAGAGCTAGTTCAGGCAAAACTTTACTGGTTATTCCAATTGGCCGATCGATCTCCTTCGTATTTCCCATCACCAGTAAGCACGACAGCGAGGTATATGAACTTTTCCACATACTTTGCTGTCCTCCGTTTATGTGTAAAGCGCAACGGGTAGGAGAACGAGAAAGCACTAGGCTTTTTGTTTTAGATGCGTTGACATGCATGCCGGTCACATCACAATCGGCTGCGAACCTTTCTAGGGAGCACTGAAGATCAGTTTCAGAAGATGCCAGTAAAACAAGGTCGTCTGCAAACAGCAATGTCGTCTCGATATCTCCTGCATCGCCTTGGCTGCAGCTGACTATACTCTCCAACAACACAAACATGAGCGGAGACAGAACGCAGCTTTGTTGGAGACTAGCGCCAACCCTGAATGTTTTTCGACTTTACCCCTTTAACCCATTTAAGTCATTTACTTTGATGCGGCTATCAACATATAGTGGCCGGATGTCTCGTAAAAACTCACTGTCGATCTCATAGCCAAGCCAAGCAAGTGCATGTACCTTGTTGGCCGGAACCCGGTCATATGCTTTCTCCAAACTAACAAAGCAGATACAAACCGAATGAGCGAACTGCAATGATTTCTCAGCAGTCGGGCTTGACCTAAAGATC